TCTCTAATCTCATGCATTTGACTTTATCCCATAACCATCTCCCATTTTAAATAATTTCATTAGCAAAAGCTATTAAATGTGGTCCAAAGGGCGGGGCTGGGGATTTAGCTCAGCGGCAAAAAGCGCCTGCCTGGCAAGCGCAAGGTCGTGAGTTCGGTTCCTGGTACCGGAGAAAAACCAAAAAGAAAAACAAAAACAAACAAACAAAAAAAAAGTTACTATCTTACTAGAAGCAGCATGGTTTATGGAATAATTTTGTTATTTTGGATTTAGGTACTGGTCTTTTGTGCATCCCATGTGCTAGGCAATAGATATGATAGTGGTGCTGGAGCATGCGGCCACCAACAAATGAAATTCAAAAGAGTCCTACGTTCTGACATGTTTAACAAGCTGAGCCAATGACAACTATTCAAACTGACTCACTATCTTGTTTAAAGCATTCTTTGTATTTATGTTGAAAACAACCACATTCAATTCCTTACTGAAGCTAAGGTAATGTGGTCACATTTCATGCCAATTTAGACTTTGCAAATTTGTAATGAGATACGAAGAAATTAATGTTTTATTTTATATGCAAATTTAAAATAACACAAATCACCTAAAATTAAAATTCATCTCTGAGTGCTTAATTTTAAAACTGGTTAAGACAAGTGAACTGGTAATTATACTATTATCTATCACATGGCAGCACTACCTCAACTAGCAAGAAAATTGGCACCCACCCCACTATTCTTTTTCATTGTGGGAATCATTCTTGTTAAATACACTGGAATTTCAGCAGATGAGTTTGGTGATTATTATGCTGGCTTTTAAAAAAATATTTATTGCTGTTTTAAAATATATTTTATATCTGTAACATCAACCAAGTATTCATTAAATGAATGATGTCAAGTGTGAAAAAGAACATCTTCAAATCAGTAACTTTTGGATATGTCTTTTTTATATATATAAGGTGTTGTTGTTTGTTGTTTTGTCTTTCTGAGGCAGAGTCTTGCTATGCAGTTCAGACTGGCCTTGAGTTCACTTTGTAGCTGAAGCTGGCCTTGAACTCACAACAATCCTCCTACCTCAGCCTCCCAAGTGCTGGGATTACTGGTGTGCGCCACTATGCCCGGCCTGGATATAAGTCTTATGTGACAGAAAATATTAAGTCCATGTAATTACACCTGTTTCTAGGTAAAAATACATGCCAGTGATTGGGTATTCACATTTCCCCCCCTCTATTTCTTATTTTTGTGGTACTGGGGATTGAACCCTGGAGCACTCTGCCACTGAGCTAAACACCCAGCTCTTTTTATTTTTTTATTTTGAGATACAGTTTTATTAAGTCACCCAGGCTGGCACTGAACTCATGATTCTCCTGCTCAGCCTCCCAAGTAGCTGAGATTATGGGCATGTGCCACTGCACCCAATAACTGTACATTAATGTGCTCCAGAATGTATCATGCTATTTAACATTTAATTTTTTGTTTTGTTTTGTTTTTGAGACAGTGTCTTGCTATGTAGTTCAGGTTGGCCTTGAACTGACTGTGTTCCTTAAGCTGGCCTTGAGCTTACAGTGGTCCTCCTGCTTCAGCTTCCTGATTTCTGGGATTACAGGCATCCATCCATGCCACCATGCCCAACTCTTAACATTTAAACTTACTAAGGAATTAATGTAGACATAGTTGAGCGTTTAATTCTACAGTCAGCAGAAACATTCTCAAAAGAGAAGAAGAAAGCAACTGTCTTCAACCTGGCAGAGCTCACAAAAGGAGTATGCTAGGGTTTGTGAAACAGTAAAAAGAATGAGATGAAAACTAGGTAAGAATTTTGAAGTATCAAATTATACTCTTGATGATCTATAGTATAATGGGAAACTGCAGAATAAGTGAATCAAGGAGACTGCAGAAGCACATTGCCATATTTTTTATATCAATATTAGTAATACTATGCCTTCACTGTTTGGACAAATGAGAAACAATGAGTATCTAAGCACTTCTGGTGAAGGAATCTTGCTTAAGGGTTATTAGTGTCATAAAGCAACAATTTTGAGATGTATGGTTGGACTGAAGCTAACATATCTTTATACTGCAAAGCCATTATTTTTATTACTGCCAATAAATAAAAAATAAGACATTAGAGGTGCAGATGTTGCTCAGTGGAAGAGTGCTTGCCTAGCATGTGCAAAGCCCTACCAGATTCAATCCCCAGCAATGCAAAAGAAAAAAGAAGAAAATAAGCCACTGAACAATGCTTTAGATTTCTTAAAACTATGTAAATCAGAAAGGACTTTTAAGTCCCTTAAAGATATGAACTATGTCTGGTATGACTTACTATCCTTACTGATTGGTTAACGTATCTGTAGAGTAACTTACCTGACATAACATATTACCACCTAGTGGTGATTATCCCTGCGTGATTTGGTAAAACTCTCTTTCCTTAGCAATATATAAAAGGAGAGAGTAACATTCTCTTTATTGTCTTCCTTTTGGCTAAGAAGGAAAAAAGTACTCTGGAAAATCTCCATTCCAGCTATTTTCTTAATCTTACACAAAAACTATTCTAAGTGCTTTCTTTCTCTCTCTAATTTCTGGTAAAAATTCAGTATTTTTAGAGCATGTAAGTATAAAAATGATAGGAAATAATTTTAATCAAATTGTAACTAGAATGAGCTAGAAAGAATAACCTTTTCTCCTTCTAGTTTAGCTGTAAATTTCTCTTTTAAAATCTTTTATTATAATTCAGATTTAGGTTCTCATTTTTAAAATTAAACAGGCACCAGATAACAATGTTTCCATTAATAAGACCATAAATACAATGCAACAGTTGTTCCCATACAACCTAGATGTGTGGTAGGGTATACTGGCTAGGATTGTGTGTGTGCACTATACAACAGTCACACAATGAGGAAACTGTCTGATAGTTCTCCCTTCATTAAGGTATGGCTGTAAAGAGATATCTAGAAATGCCATCACCAAAATGTTAATAGTAAAAGAATTTTAAGAGTAGTAGTCTTTGTATAGTAGAACTAAAGGCAATTTTACATTTCCTATTTTTAATTTTTTTTTTCCATTTTTTGAGACAGGACATCACTTTGTAGTGCAGGCTGACCTTCAACTCACGGTGTAGCCCAGGCTGGCTTCAAACTTGCGATAATTCTCCTGCCTCAGCCTCCCGAGTGCTAGGATTACAGGTGTGTGCCACACACCTCACTCTATTTTCAAATTTTTAACTCAAAGTATAAATAAATTAAAGAGCAAAATAAAAGACAGATAATAGGAAACAGATAATCTTTTGCAAATGGGAAAAGAACCCAAACAGATAATAGGAAACAGATAATCTTTTGCAAATGGTAAAAGAACCCAATACTATGAAGGGAGAAGAGAGGAAGAGGAAGTAAAAAGAAGAAAGATGTGTATGTATGTGTATAACTCTCCATGACGAATATAATCATTATGTGCATTAAGTTTTAGGCCGGAGATATAGCTCAGCGGCATAAGCGCCTGCCTGGCAAGCACAAGGTCCTCAGTTCAATTCCTAGTACCAAAAAAAAAATTGAACTTTAATTTTTTCACTTTCTACAACTGATTTTTATCTAAAAGGATTTTTGCCATCTAAAATATTCACTCACAAGATATAGTAAGCAACCTTTATTATTAACCTAAACAAAACATGATAAATGTGCTATGAAAAAGTATTCAAAATGAAAGCCAGGGACAGTGGCATACATATATAGTCCCAGCTACTAGAGAAACTGAAGAAGAATCATAGGGCCAGCCTGGGCAACAGAACAGGACCTAACCTCAAAAAAACAAAAAAAACAACTTTTCCTGTGCTATCAATTTTAACTTCACATCCTGGAGCTCTCATTTCTCCAGCAGCCACTGAGCTCAGCAAGCTCGTATTTCACACAGATGTCCCCTCACCTCTGGCTTTCTTCAACTCAGAATTTAGTTACAGTTAGCAAAGAAACTAAAGAAATAAGAATTATTTTGTTATAGTAATTAATTGAATTGTAAACATGCTTTGTTGATGGAAAAGACAAATTTGTATACATGGTCAAATCTAAGAGCATGTGCTATTACATAGTACAAAGTAAGAAGAACAAAAATTCTGACCTCATCAAATCCAGCAGCCTGCAAATCTTGAAACATTTGTGGATTAACTTCTGAAGTACTCCGGGAGGAAGAACTTGTTTCATTTGCAAATGGCTGTAAAGAGTTTCGAATTTCTTGCAAGGCTTTATGATATGTCCCAAATTTAGGTGGATTTCTTACTTGTCGAGTATCTTCAGTTGACATTTTGGTTATGTTATGCTCAGCCTTAGCAGCATCAGATGGTTTGGATAAATTCCTAAGGGATTCCCGAATTTCTTGCAGCATTTGCCGACTGCTGCCAGTGTAGTTACTGGCAGGAAAGGTCTTAGGCCTCATTTGTCTATATCCTTCTGGCTTTTCACTCCTCTTCATTAAAACATCTATATATGTAACCCACACAAAGGACTTCTTTAAGAGCCAGTTGACAGATTCAGAGCTTTCTCTTGAACAAAAGTGAAAGTAATTCTTTGATGAATTCAAAAGTGAAAATAATTCTTCAGGAACATTAAAATTCCTAATATTCTAAATAACCCTGTAAAAGAAGAACAGCTATAATTGATAAAACAGTACAATGAAACTCACTGATACAGGAGTGAAGATATCCAGCTTATAGTTCTGATTCCATTAAGGATTTACTTTAGGATCAGAAAAAGATACTTAGCCTCTCTGTACCTATTTCCTAGTTAAAACAGATTTACTGTATTTGCCTCAAGCTGTAATACATTCCTCTTTCAACAACTGAGCCCAGTTTCTGTGACTAGGTCCTCAAATGAATTGGTCCCTAAATGAAGAATTGTATACACTACGTACATTACAATATTCACAACAAAGAAATGGTCAAAGGTAATTCCAACTTGATGACTTTGTATTTATTTGCGTAACAGTTACACACAGTACTGTAGTGTGTAATAGAACATAAAACTACAGTACAATAAACAAATATTGCAGTATTGGGTAAACAAGGAATGCAAAATAAAGACATTGAGGTTCTATAAACAAGATGTACAGAACTGTACCCAAAAAAAAAAAAAAGACAAGTTGAGCCGCTGGGTGTAAATCTGAACAGCATGCCTCAGTACTAAGTCTGCATAGTTATTGAACAGGTAGATCATTAAGTGCAGAATTCTGTCATCATGATAAAAATAATAATTTTAAGAGTGCTTTGGTGCTGGGTGTGATGGCGCACATCTGTATTCCAAGCATTCTGGGAGGCTGGGAAACTGAGGCAGATCCCAACCCAGCCTGGGCAACTTGGTGAGTTTGTGAAGCACTGTCTCAAAATAAAAAAATAAGAAGGCTGGGGGCGCTGGGGATTTAGCTCAGCGGCAAAAGCGCCTGCCTGGCAAGTGCAAGGTCGTGAGTTCGGTTCCCGGTACCAGAGAAAAACCAAAAAAAAAAAAACAAAAACGCTGGGGATGTAGCTCAGTGGCACAAGATCTGCCTGGCAAGCGCAAGGTCCTGAGTTCGATTCCTGGTACAAAAAAAAAAGGAGATGTAGCTCAGTGCAAAGGCTTTGGGTTCAATCTCTAGCACCGTAAAACAAAATGAAACAAAACAAAACATGCCTTTGTAAGTACATAAAGCATATTAAAATGCAGAGGATTACTACATGAATAAAACAAGACAATCTCCCATCAACTCCACCAAGAGGCTCCAATTTTAAATTTTACAAATTAGACTTCTGTACAAGATTTCTTTAGAAGAAAAGATATGGCTATTTTAAGAACCAGTCCAGAAGACCTCCTAATGCTTCAAAAAGAGGTGCTTGGGTTTAGTTCCTAAACTGTAGAATGGAACTATACAAGACAATAAGCTTATCAATAATGGGGTAGAGAAAGGATCTCTGAGGTCAACTTGTTTTATTTCTCACACGAATACTCTACAACACAGAAAGAACAGTCACCTAAAGTCTACTTAAATGTTTGCACTGATAGGGAAAATTATTAACTCAGAAAAGCCATTTTATTTATGACCTGTAATAATAGTATTTTCTTCATGTGAAGTAACATGAAATTTCACCCAGTGCCTACTGAGGGACTGTTCCTGGTTAGTACTGAACAACTTTGCCTATCTTCTTATCTAACTGTCCTAACAACTCTGTGAGGTAGGTTGGCTATTTCTACCTTGTAAATGCAAAACTAAAGTTCAGAGAGTTTGGGCAAAAGAGTATGTAAGTGGTACTGCTGAGATTGAAGTGTAATTATCAACTGACAGCCTATTTTTATTCTCATTAAATGTAATTAACACTCATGTTACATAAAGATGTATATCATTAGATAGATATGTAGATATTTTTATCATCTAGCTTTCTGCCCTGTGTTACTTCCTCATGGAACCTTCCCTTGATCACTAGATTAACCTGTTTTAAGGATTCTTTTGGAAATTAAGGATTTTTTTTTGTCTTTTTGAGATGGGGTTTTGTTATGCAGTTCAAGCTGGCCTTGAATTTGCTGTGTAGCCCAAGCTGGCCTCAAACTCGCATAGATCCCTGTGCCTCAGCCTCCCGAGTGCTGGGATTACAGGCATGCGCCACCATGCCCGGCAAGCCTATAACTTTTTTTTTTTTAAAGAGAGTAATAAATGAGACACAGACAAACAAAAAATAGAACAATAGCAACATACCAGTATCACAAACATAAACAAACCAAAGCAAGAACATTTAAAGTGATACAGGGTTTCTAGACAAAAATAATACGAATTAACAGTGGTTGTTATATTACATATTGCTATCGTCAACTATGTTGCTCAGATTAGCAGAAGAATGGAAGATTGTTCTAACCATTACAGAGAATAAGGAAATAATTATTAGATAAAACATTAGAGATAATACAGAGTTTCACTAGACAAGATAGTAAGAATTCACCGTGGTAATTCCATTGCATATTGTTACCTTAAAATCAGCTGCCCAGATTACCAGACACAAGCATACAAAATTGATCAGAACATAAAAAATTTTAAGCATTAACTATTCAAGCCTATATCTCTTGATCTTCGTACTTTAGCCTCCTCAGTACTGGGATTACAGGCATGTTCCACCATATCCCACTATCATTATAGTAAAAAATTATACAAAAATTGCCTTTTAACCAATCTTTATAAATTATATTGTGATACAGCTGTTAAAATAAACGCATCTTTAAATTATTAATATAATTTATATTTTGGGAATTATCTCTACATATACATATATTTACAGCAGACCAGGAAAAGGATGCAGCCCTTAGCGAATCAACTGAAGTAGTTTTGGGCTGGGGATATAGCTCAGTGGCATAAGCACCTGCCTGGCAAGCACAAGGTCGTGAGTTCGATCCCCGATATCACAAAAAAAAAAAAAAAAATAGAAGTAGTTTCTTGATAACTTCATCTCATTAGTCAGTACTTTTGAGGTACAATTGCTAAATTAGTTACAAATCATTCAAGTGTAAACAGCCCACATTTCCCCATTTTATTTTAAAAAATTGCCAGTATCCTGCTGGAAATTGAAAATTATACATAATCTATCTACAATGTAACCCAACCTAGTAATAATTATTTCAGAAAGGAAATCAGGACATATCCTGTCCTTTCATGAAGGAAGCTGGTTGCTAATATATATAACATATAACATTTTGCTTTCTAAGCCTCCCTAAAATATTAACATTTAATAGCTTACTAATGAATTTTTCTAGGCTTAACATTTTTTCACTATCTAAAGTCTGCAAAAATCAATCAATCAATCATTTGCAGGCTTTATCTCTGGCCTTTTCTAAAAATGGAGATATTTTCCATGACTTCTGGAGATTACCATTTCTCACAAAGATTAACAGTGGGTTGTATAGTCTCAGGTGTTAATTCATTTAGTATCTGGATTATAATCATTCTTTGCATCTAGGATTCTTTTAATATTTTCTTTGCTGGGTATGCTAGTCAGCTTTCCACTTCTGAGCACAATACCTGACATACACAACCTAATGGAGAACTTTATTTTGGCTTAGTCCTCTGGTTCCAAGGCAGAATCCTCATGGTGGTAGGGCACAGTAGAGCAAAGCTGCTTAGTTCATGGTAGAGTTGCTTAGTTCAAGCAGAGCAAGGGACCAGCACCAAAGAAAAAGAGGTCAAGGACAATATACCATGTAGTAACCAAGTCATGCTGCCATGACCCACCCAGACACATCCAGCTTTCTTTATTTAATTTCCAGGATGGCTCACAAGCCAGTCAAGTTGAAACATACCACTACATATATAAATTCACAAGCCAATCAAGTGAAACATTACCACTACATATATGAATTCACAAATTTATCTCCCTCAACAGAAAATCATTGTTAAGTAGACTGAATAATGATCTCCCCCCAAAAATGCATCCTTTTTTTTTTTCTCATTGTCACTATTAGTCCAGAATGGCCTTGAATTTGTGGCATCCTGCCCCAAGAATGCCACTGTTTAACACTGCAATTTGTAAATATTACTTTACGTGGAAAAAGGAACTATGATTAAGTTAAAGATCTTAGTGTTAAGACTAGGGTGGTAAAAAAGTTAAGGATATTGCTATGGAGAGATTACCATGATTCATCCAAATGAGCCCTACATGTAATTATAGGTATTCTTATAAATAGAAGCAGAAAAAAATCTGATTCAGGGAGCAACACAATGAAGGAAGCAGACACTGGAGTGATATGGCCAGAAGCCAAGGAATGTAGGCCGCCAAAAGAAAATGGAAGTGACAATGATGGTCTTCTCTATTATATCTTCCAAAGGAGTACAGCCTTGCGAACATCTTCACTTTGGATTTCTAGCCTCCAGAACGGTAAGAGGATAAATTTACATTACTTTATGCCACCAAGTTTATAGTGATTTGTTACATAAGTCATAGGAAACTAACAGAATCACTATTAATACTGCATATTCTACTATCTACTACTAGCCAAAATGGAATAATATACAAAATATGCCATCTCATTCTTTCACATTATCATGGGCATTTATAAGAGAACACATTGTTGCCCAAATTTACCATGTTTAACCTTTTTCCCAGAGCATTTTATGAAAGTCATATTCTATGGAACCAACTTAAGAAACTGTAAACTAGAGTGACTCATTCTAGTCCTTTACTGTGTAACTCTGGACTTTAATGACATAATTCCTAAAATAACTAACATCCAACTGTACACTAGTCACAGAGCGACTGAAGTTATGGTGTATGTGTAATAATGTGCCAAGGGTTTAAATAAAACATCTTTTAACCTTATCTTTTGTGTACATGATGAAATACTTGGGAATAAAATATAGTGTCTGGAATTTATTTCGAAATAATTTAGTTGGGGCTGAGGATATAGCTCAGTGGCACAGCACCTGCCTTGTAAGCGTGAGGTCATGAGTTCAACTCCCAGTACCACAAAAAAAAAAAAAAAAAAGTTATTTAGTTATGTGCGGAAGTGGATAGAGACATAGATAAAACAAAGGTTGGGGCCGGGGATATAGCTCAGCGGCACAAGCGCCTGCCTGGCAAGCCCAAGGTCCTGAGTTCAATTTGCAGTACCAAAAAAAAAAAAG